TGACCAGGCAGAGGGCTTGGGCCGGGGCGGTTACTCAGAAGTGACCAGGACGATAAGGGCTAGCTTAATAAGGTCTGTTTGTGTGGACTTCCTTCGGCTTCAACTTCCCATCCTTGATGAAGAGAATGTCACTTTCCTTCTGGTATACGGAGGGTGTCTTTCACGTGGGAATTTCATCTCCCGCTTTTAAGAAACAGAATGAAGGTCGGAATGATCTTATTACACCTGCTGGTTTTTTAACTGTGTTTAATTCATAATAGTCAGCATGCCAGAGCAGCATATTTTGGGGTGGCATATTATTAACTCCTGCAGAACAAAGGCTCAGGAGAGCACAGACGGGCTGACTTGCCTGCTGTCTTTCTCAGGTGGACTCATACGACGTGACCGTGGATGAAGAACTGGGCGAGATCCAGCTGGTCAGAATCGAGAAGCGCAGGTACTGGCTGCACGACGACTGGTACCTGAAGTACATCACGCTGAAGACGCCCAGCGGGGACTACATCGAGTTCCCCTGCTACCGCTGGATCACAGGCGAGGGCGAGATTGTCCTGAGGGACGGACGTGGTGAGTGCTCAGGCCCCTTCCACCCCTAAGCTTCCTGGGAACTAAAAGGTCTTCCCCTCCTCAAAGAACTGGATTTGTGGGAGGAGTAACATCGCCTCCCGGGTACAGCACCTGCCCTGAGCCTCTGGCACTGCAGGAGGTGTGGTCTTCTTCGAGCACTAAGCCGCAGGGTGGAGCAAGTTGCTGCAGGGCACATGGCCAGCTGTGTCCTCCCTCTGCCCTGCAGTTCTTCAGGCACGTACCCCTGGAAGGGCAATTCCCCAGATGTCGAGGTTGTGGCATCACTTTCCAGATCCACAGGCTGTCCTCCGAGAGATCACAGTCAGGCTAGATGGGCTTAGATCACCCCATGCAGGCCTGGGAGGGAAGGGGTACATGAGGAGCACCCAGAATGCCAGCTCTGAGGGCTGTGGGCAGGCCTGGGGTTCACAGTCACCAGTTCTTAAACCTGAAGTCTCCCTTTTTTCTGACAGGGAGAAAAACCTAAAATCTGTCCCCTCAGTAAGACCCCCAAATGTGCAGATCCTAATTTGGCACTTCCTCAGGAGGCCATTCTTGTAAGGGACATGCAGTGGCCTGGTACAGAGGATTAGACAGAGAAGCAGATGTCAGAGGTCAGCTAAGGCCACTCTCCCTGAACGACCGAAACCTGGAGCAATAAGCCTTCAAATGCCAGGCAGCCACTATAACAGGGAGGAGGAGACGGCGTCTTACACTTCCTCACAGACAAGGCATTCCCCGTCGTGGTTCATCAGCTCCTCACAGAAGTTTGGTGGGGTAAGACCGATAGGAATGGCTGTTACCCCATTTTATAGCTGAGAAAACTGAGGCACAGGAGGAAAAAGGTCTTCTCTACCTGGTGTTCTTCAACTATCAGGCCATATCCCATTGCTCTGGTAGGGAGTTTGCCTTAAGAAACCAAATTCCAAGAATAGTCCTGAACTGCACAATTGGGGCTAGGAGGATTTTTGTCCACCTAACACATTGCAGGAAAAAATATCACAAAATTTACTTGGCCAGAATGTGGAAGGTTGCAGACAGGGAGCTTCCCTTTTTCCAGTAGTTGGGAAACACTAACTCTGAATCTCCCTCCTGCTTATCCCACACAAGTTCTCGGTTATGAAGTCCTTCCCACAGACCCTGTAGCTCTTCCCAGCAAAAAGCAGGTGGTGGCCGCAGGGTAGTCACACTTCCTACGTGGTGGCAGGCTTCTGAGAGCAAGCGCTCCAGAGACAGAAAGTGGAAGCTGGCGTAGTGTAACTTCCACATAGTCTGTTGGTCTGAGCAATCACGCAGACTCAAGGGGAAGGAGTGGAGGCTCCCACCTCCAGATGAGACTAATGTCAAAGAATTTGTGGCCATTACTGATCCACCACCACATGGCACAGCAACCAATCCTTTGAACAACCCAGAAATAAGGGGGCCCAGCCCAGAAGTGACTTAATCACTCCCCACAGGATAACCTCTTAAGTCTATTATTACACCAGTGCAGCTTGGGTAGGCGTAAAAGTCAGAGGGTGTCACGGGGTCCCAGGAACCCAGAGCATCTGTGCGCAGGGATGGCCTCACTGAGGCACTCGCATCAGTCCTCAGGAAGCCACCCCCCCAAACTCTTCTTCAGTGAGTCCAGGCTTTGTCAACCTGCCGTCCTCCCAGAAGTTCCATCGTCATTAGGTAGAGTCTTCCAACACCCTCAGAGCCAGGAGAAACACAGCCATTCTTTTTGAAACTTGCTGTGTTGTAATTCCACATGTTCTGACTTACTCATACCAGTAAAGCTGAAGAGATTCGGCTCCTCAGAGCCAAGGTGCCCAAGAGACAGGCTGGTTCCCTGAGGTAGGTTAGAGGTGATAAGCGGTGAGGGCCGACAGCAGTGCCTCCTGCAGCAACGGTAATGGCTAC